ATACAGGTGCATGCCAGTCACTAATGCTGGCGCCAAAAGTGCTATTTAAACTGGCTGCAGTAGATGTCCTATTGCCATATGGTCTTATCCCTGCTTGTGTTCCCTGATTCCTGTGATTGTCTTCTGATACCATACCAGCTTGTTCCTGACCTCCGCTTGACCACTACCTGCCCTGACCTCTGGCTTGCCTTGGATTTACCCTTCTGTCTCTGTTCCTGTCTGACTGATCTTCCGCTTCTGACCTGGCCTGTGACTTGACTGCGCTGCTTACCAGCTATTACTGGACAGATCACAGGCACTCATACCCCACCGTGCCCTTGCGGTCAATTTCTCACCATCAGCGGTTTTTGAGCCGGAGTTGTACGGGAGGCCTACCTCTTCACGTCAGGCTTATTATCCAGGTACGTATAGCCACCCAGTAGGAGCCACTCTCCTTGATGACCCAAATTTGTGTATCTTTGTGCAGGCATTTGTGTATAAAAGATCCCATTCATTATAAAATTACTTGCAGCAAAGATACTGACTCTTTGGTGCCTCACAGGAATGGTGTCCTGAATGAGGCTGTTGAGAGGCAACCCATTTTAGTGCCTCATTTCTTCTATCCAAGGCAAGGCAAGGTATGACACCTAAAATGGCCACAGTTCCTTCTGGTCTGATGTAGGGCCCCTTGTAAGTCAGGGTACTTCATGATGAGTTGCTGCAGAACCAGGTTGAGGATATGCCAGGCAAGGTACATGCATGATTTTTCTCAAGCAAATGGACAGCCAGCAGGTTATTGATGTTGTCACACTTGATCTTGCCTGGCTAAATATGATGTTAGTTCAGCCACCTCTCAAGCCCATGCCTGGAGAGCTGTAGCAGCACTGGCCCAGTGCGGGTCTTATCTCCCTAGCATACTAGCTGTAATACAGCATAGGAACAATTAACCTGGGACATTGCATTTGCTCTGGGCTCTTGGAGGGGATTGTTGGTTGCAAGGAGTTGGCAGTGACAGTGCAGTCCAAGGACACAAACGTATTACATTTCATATGCGAGTGAAGGGCAGGGATAGTCTTCTGAGCAGCTGCAAAGCTAAACATTTTGCCAAACTGGCATTAAGATGGCTGTCATGGGAGTGATTTAGGTTTTTTTCTCTTCCACTTCAGCAACGGTGGAATAGGCGCCTTACTTGAGAAGGATGCTGCTGGAGATGGTGGGGGAGGTTTAACCACTTCCTGTCTGGACACTTTTACCCCTTCCTGTCCAGGGCAATTTTTAGCTTTCAGCGCTATCACACTTTGAATGACAATTGCGCGGTCATGCAATACTGTACCCATATGAATTTTTTACCATTTTTTGAGACAGATAAAGCTTTATTTTGGTGGTATTTATTCACCGCTGGGATTTTTATTTTTTTTTTACTATGTAAATGAAAATGTTCAAAAATTTTGAAAAAAGTGTTTTTTTAAATAAAATTTTGCAAATAAAAATAATATTTCATCATAAATCTTAGCCAAAATTTATTCCATTATTTTTTTAGTAAAAAAAAAAAATCCAAATTAGTTTATAACCAAAAATTATAATTTTTAAACATTTTATTTTACATTTTATTTTATTTTTTTATATTATTATTTTTTATTTTTATTTTTATTTTTTACATACTGTCACCCTAGCAGTACACTGTCACCATGGTGACACTGTACTACTTGTGGAGGGTGATGAAGATTTTTTTTTTTTTTTTTTTACACTGATTGCTTTTACACCCAAGGATGTAAAAGCAATCATTTCTCTTTCTCTCTGTCTGCATTCCTGCAGTCATTGAGAATTACTGAGTGAGCTGTGAGTGGTCACAGCTTGTCACATGGTACAAGGCTGTTGTGAATAGCCTTGTACCATGTGACCTTTGTGATCATTCACAGATTTCACACATAGTAAGCAATGATGTCACAAGTGACATCTTGCTTACTACTTTGCATGTGATCACTGATTCGCCAATCAGTGATCACATGATCGGGACCTCGTACAGTGGTCCCGTCCGACGATCGGTGTTTCACTGTGTCCGGAGGACACAGCGGGCACTGGATCGCGATGGTGCGCACTCCCAGGGAGCGCGCACAGCTAGAAAAGGCGGGTGCCGTTTATGGACGGCAACCCGACCCTGGACTGCCACCGCCCTGCCGTTTATAAACAGCAGGCGGACGGCAAGAGGTTAAAGGAATTCTGCAAAGGATATCCTTTGCTAGACTCTCCTCAGTGGGGCCCCATGATCCTCTTCTCTGCTTGATCCTCCTCCCCTCCCTACACATGGCCAATATTGACTACCAATATTTGTTTTATGTAGACTCTCCCGATGTTCAGATTTGCTAATGATTTTGCAGGATTCACCAAATTCCACATATAATCCAGGGTTTGCGCAACTGAATTAATTCTCTCTTGAGAAGAGGATATTAAGGGGGGATATGATCAACATGTATAATTACATCAGTGGTTCATATAGTGAACTCGGTGTAGAGCTATTCACCCTGAGGTCATCACAGAGGACAAGGGGGCACTCTTTACATCTGGAGGAAAGAAATTTAATCTCCAAACACGGAAAGGTTTCTTCACAGCAAGAGCTGTGAAAATGTGGAATAGACTCCCTCAAGAGTTGGTTCTGGCCAGCTCAGTGGATTGCTTTAAAAAAGGCCTGGATTCTTTCTTAGATACACAGAATATAACTGGATACTAACATTTATAGGTAAAGTTGATCCAGGGAATATCTGATTGCCTCTCAGGGGATCAGCCAGGAATTTGTTTCCCTGCAGGAGCAAATTGGATCGTGCTTTGCTGGGTTTTTTTTGCCTTCCTCTGGATCAACTGTGGGTGTAGGATTATAACTTTTTTTTTTTAATGGTTGAACTGGATTGACTTTTGTCTTTTTTCAGCCAGACTAACTATGAAACTCTATTTTGAACCTTCAAAAACAGCTTTTCAACATTAATGTCAATGAGAAAGTACTCTAACAATTTCATCTTATTCACAAACATGTAAGCATTTGCCCTGATACCTGTTAAGGCTAGGTTCACACTTGTGAGGGTGGATGTCACAAAGATCCGTACAGAAAAACATGCTACCACTCAGGAGATGAGTGGGGGTACCATTAATTCTAATGGCACACTCACACACTAGAAACCACAGTGCAGTCTCCCCGCACTGTACATGCAGTTTTCCTGCAACTGCGTTTTCTGGAAGAGGAACTGCACAATTGTGAACCTAGCCTTAAATAAAAGCGTGTAATAAAATAACAGCATATATTGCAAGAGAAGCATTGTTAAATAAGGCTAATGTTAATATTGTTGTTTATTTTCTTTCAAATAGCATGTATAGACATCACGTGCTATCACGTGGGAGCGCCGCACAAGTGCTGTGTATCCTACTGAGCACTCTGGGTTTAGACTTCCCTCTGTCTTCCGCCTAAGTTTGCCCACACTTCGCCGCTACAGTGGTCCACTATCCAGAGTGATCTTTGTATGTAACTCAAGCTGCCTGTCATTTACTAACATTGGCCAGCACTACTGGCAGCCCCATGGATGCTACACAAACAGAACGACCCTGCACTGAGGGTCTGTTGAGCTAAGTGGAAAGCAGAGCAAGGAGGGAGTGGGGTGCAGAGGTCAGCACAGAGAGTGGGTGCAAACATGAGTAGAGAGGGGTCTGAGGTGCAGAGAGGAGTTTGGGGTACAGAGGTGAGTAGAGAGAGGAGGGTGCAGAAGTTAGCAGAAAGAGTGGGTGGAAAAGTGAGCAGAGAAGGGAACAGGGGTTAGGAGAGGGAGAGTTGATGTGCAAAGATTAGAAGAGAGGGGAGTTGGGGTGTACAGCAAAGAGCAGTTGGGCTGCAAAGAGGGGATAGAATGTAGACATGAGCAGAAAGGGGATTGGGGTACAAAGGTCAGTGTAGAGGTAAGCAGAGGGGGGGGGGGTGTAGAAATGATCAGAGAAAGGGGTTTGGGGAACAGAAGTTATCAGAGAGGGAGAGGTTTGGGGTGCAGAGTTTACCATAGAAGGGGTTTGGGTGTAAAGGCAAGCAGACAGAGGTACAGAGGTAAGCAGAGAGGGCATGTGGGGTGTAGAGGTCAGTGGGGGGGTTTGGGGAACAGAGATTAGCAGAAGGAGAGGGGTTGTGGTGCACAGGTCATTAGGGGGAGAGGGGTGAGACTGCAGCAGTAAGCAGAAAGGGGGTTTGGATGCAACTTCTCCCCCAGAAATCCCCACCCCCAAAGAAAGTAGAGGGAGGAGGGCAGTGTGTACAGAAAGGGGGAGTAGTGTAACAAGGGAGTAGGAGCAGTTATTAGGCCAAACCCACTATTTAGCATAATTTAACCACACCCACTTCTGTCGCACTGCATGTGCATGTCACAGGTTGCTGTCTCCCTAATGTGTCCCTCATTCTCAAGTCCAAAAGTTGGGTGGTATGCTGTATATACCATAAAGAAATGCACACAGAATAACTAGACGACAGCAGGCCTAAGCTGGCCATAGATATTAAAAGGCAGTTAATATCTAAAAGCTTGGTTATATGTCTGCAATTATGTAAACGCATTAATCAGAGTCTCACTGCTAAGCAAAACCACCAACCTTCCATTTGCAGAAGCATAAAAAAAAAACAGAAGCTGCAGGAATGAATTGCACATTTTATTGCTGCTTGTTATTACTACGACTGACTACAGCACAATATTTTGAGCTTATATTTTGCTTCTTTGTCATTTGCATGAAGATTTGTGATTCCGAAAATGTCTGTGCACATATGTAACAATAATCCCTATTCAGGAATTCAGTTTGGGAAATGTGTGAGCAGATTTCCAACTACTCTGTGAAATAAGTGCCAGCAAGTTCACTGTGAAACATTGCAAATACAGCAAGCGATAAACAATACAGCAACAACAGAGAAGCCAAGGTTACTACAGAAATCAAACTGAACTATACCTAATGAAAATACAAATATGTACTGTAAATTAAAGAGTTACTAAACCCACAACATGAAAATATGTCTGTATATGCAGTAAAGCATGCTTGTTATACTCACTGTGAAACCTAAGGGGGTAATCCTCTACATTGTGTAAAAAGGCTGTTTGATCCTGTCTTCTCTCCCCCTCCTCTTATTCAAATGTCCACGCTGATAAGACAGACTGAACCCGTAGCCTTTCTGCACATGATTGCTATAGAGTTTTTTTTTTCTTGGGAGAGTGCATGTGATCAGCACAGGGCCAATCAGCACTCTCCAGACAGAGGTCAGGGGTCCTGCATCCTCCTGGAGCAGAATAAAAACTCTTCCTATAAGCTTTAACATGCGCTTGGCTGGACACTGATAGAAGTCACAAGACTACTATATACTGCTGATGAGAAAAGGTATTTAGCAGTTTATATAAAATAATTGCACTTCCATATTCTGTGTACTGTGGGAGACCAGATATAGTGAATGCAGGGTCCTGGGTTTAGTAACACTTTAATGTTGCCATTGCTTTCCTCTTCTTCTTATAGTGCTAGTTGTCATATGTAAAGAGTCAGAGTATGTAATACAACTCAACAGTACAACAGCCAGTCAACTAGCATTTACAGAAGGGGGGTCGATGGCAACCCTGTATTTTTCCAATGACAGGTTTACAGTTCCCCTATCCAGACCACTAATGGTAACTCATGTAACAGATTAACAATCAGGCCCTGTAGGGTTGATCATATATTGCTAATGCGGACATCCAGCCATTCTGCACATGCTCAGTTTAGTGTGTATTGCTAGAGAGGTATTTTTTTTCTTGGGAGAGTACGTGATCTGCACAGAGCCAATCATCACTGTCCAGACAGAGGTCAGGGGTTTTGCATCCTCCTAGAGCAGAAAGAAAACTCCTCCTACAAGCTTTAACCAGTGCTCAGCTGAAGTCACAAGACTGCTCTAATTGCTGATGAGAAAAGGTATTTATCAGTTCGTATTTACTAAAATAATTGCATTTCCATGTTGTGTGTACTGTGAGAAACCAGATATAGTGAATGCAGGGTCTTGGGTTTAGTATAACTTTAATACCAATCCAACCAGATAACAGGTATGCAACCCATGCAGTTTACAGCAACACCCAGGCTACAGACAAAATGATATATAATGTATCAACATAGGTCAAGGCTAAAGAATGGTGCAAGGGAGGGCACAGTTGGTACTTGTGATCATAGGAAAACTAGAAGACGTCCAAGAAGAAGAAAGAATGCTGAAACAAATGCAGGGAAAGCCTTCCACTAGCTAGTGGAACCAAGCACTAGAAAACCAGACCAGAATGTGAGCAGGACACAGTGTGTGGGGTGCTGGCAGCAGAGAACACACAGAGGCCGAGTGAAATAAACTATATATTGTAGAACGTTCCAACGGGTTACAACTAACAATGAGTGAGCACAACCAACTGGAGCCACATTCAGAGTCAGTAGCAGCAGTTCTGTATCTTGAAATGAGGCTGAAAGCTTCTGCAATGAGTGGCAGGAATGCGGCCTGGCTGGTCTGACCCAACTGGGAGGCTTCCAAGGTGGAGATGTGTAGGCAAGTGCAGTCTTTTTTCTCCACTGTAGGTGCTGTACAAGCAGCAGCGGCATTGTAGATGGATAGGAAGTTGAGAAGAACTTTGTTCCTCTATGGTTTCCTGGGTCACTGGGAAGCATTCCAGTTGGATGTCTCTGTCCCATGTGACTCTGGTGGCCATCTTGGATCAGGTAGAGTCTACATAAGACCCTGACTCCCAGGCATTTTGAAAGTGAGCAGCCTAGGGACAGGTCACCCGCCTGTCAGGGAAAGTGAATAGCCGTATGGAAAGGTTCCAGATGAGTAAGAACAGGATAGGGGCATTCTATCATTCTTAGGAATCCTCCACATTGGGCTCAAGCTGGCTAGGCCGCATTCCGCACTAGGAGACAGACACTGTCAGTGCACCAGGACCTGCTCCACTCTACGCCATTGCATAGAACTGTGAATGGACCTGGCAGGGTGTCTTCCCACTTGACTGTTTGTGTCTTTAAGCCATTTCTTCAAAACAAGTTTTGTCAACTTCAACCAGACTCACTGCTGCTGCACCACACTGCACCCACAAATGTCATAGTCCCTGCACTTTCCCTACTCCTCTGGAACCTCTACCTGTCTCTAAATGCTTACCATGACAGACAGGCAATCTGTCCCTATGCTAACAACTCACAGAATGCACACCAAATCAGGGAGCCAGGGGCTTAAATAAGCTCTGCCCTTGCCCAAGATGGATGTAGCGGTCACAGGGGGCACCAGTGTTTAATTGGACAGCTGTTCTCCTGGTGAACACAGGAAATCATGGAGGAACTCGCTTCCCCTCTTGCATTACCACTTTAGTAAAGCGCCACAAACAGTGGGGAGTACAAACTGCACCTGCCAACAAGAAGACTGCAAGGAGATACCTGCTGGTGGCCTCTGAAAGCACTTGCTGCAAATACTGAAACACAGTGTGGCTAAAAAGTGAAGCTGGGCAGAGGATGATAGGCTATCATATAAAATCAACACTGTGGTTGATTTAGTAAAGCCAAATCGAATGTTCACTCTGCAAGGGAAGTTGCATTTGCCAGTAAATTTTCCACAGAGCTTTAGTGAATGAGGTGAAGATCTGCTATCTTCAATCATTCAATCACTTGCGAGGAAAAATGCTCTTTTTATTTTATTTTCCTTGCACGTGATTGGGTAATCTTTGCAATGTGAAACTTCACCACATTTAGTAAGCTCTTGGGAATTGCATAATGCCTCCTCCCTTGCAAAGTAAACATCAATTTATATTTGGCATCAATTTATATTTAGCTGCACCAACCAACCCAAATAAAATGTTTGGAATTCATTTATGGAAGCCTGCTTGAACCATTGTTTTATCTTTTACTGTATTTTCTATTGGCCGAGAAGTGAACATGCCAAAAGCCATTGTTTTTCCACTGTAACTAATAAAAATCCAGATTTTACCACCAGACTACAATCTGTAGAAGAACATTCTTGGACACATTGCAGTTGATTTAGTAAAACTGGAGAGTGCAACATCTGCAGAGTAACCAATCAGCTTCCAGGATTTTTATTTTTTTTCCTTAGACTAACAATCAGATATGTGGTATCTGATAATGTGATCACCAACTCAACACATTACTAACAAATTTTCCCAGCCTGCAGATAGCACTGTGTTGAGATAGGTACAGGGTCATCAGAGAGCATAAATATAGTGATAGAATTGTTGCAGCGAGTAAAAAAATATGTTTTAAAAAGTTTAATCTAAACTGTTGTGTGTAAAATTAACTTTTTTTTTTTACATTCTGGGCTGTTTGTCATTTTTTAAGCAGCATTAACCCCAACACAAAAATGTAGCAATATACAGCTTACAAATCCTTGGACGTGGTGGCTACATCAGTTTTATTTTCTTTGGCTTTTCCCTTTGTATTCACCTGGCGATCTGGCCAGTAACATACTTCCTGTATTAGTTTGCCCCCACTCTGGATGAAGGAGCACAGGGGGCACAACAGTAACAGTGTTGTTAATCTGGGGGGAGAGTAGTGTTAGATGTACTAGCAGATTTAGATACACTAAACAAATTTAAGCAAATTACCAGCTAATAATTTTTAAGTAGTTACAGCAACAGTTTTGTTCCTTTTGGGATAAAGGTTTTACATAAATAAAAGCTGGTCATTCTAAGCACCCTTGTTAGTGGTACATGGTTTATTTCAACCCTCTAACAACTTGTTCTGATGAAAAATAAGGTGAAAATAATGGAAAGAAAGCCTAAAAAAGAAAACTAATGCACAGGGGCGGACTGACCATTTGGAAACTCAGGCACTGCCCGAGGGCCGGGGTCAGTAGGGGACCCCATGAGATGCCCTGGTACCTTTTTCATAGGCTTTTTTGAGTTTGGGCAAGGACACAGGGGCCCCATGATCCCCTATTGCCCAGGGGCTCCATGAGTTGTCCGCCCCTGCTAATGCAGCAATCACATCTAAGAATTGGAACAGTAAGCTGCAATATTATTATAGAGAAAAAAAAAGTGTAGTGCTTTTAACAAACATTATAACACAATACAGAAATGAACAGTCCAAAGAACGTCTAAATAATTATTATTGTTGTAATTTCTATTGTATTATAATTTGTATTGAAAGTGCTACACTTTTTATTGTCTATATGTATTTAAGATTTGTTGCCTACAAATTGTGTTAGCAGCTGATGTGGAGTTGTATACCTTAGCGCAAGTAATTTTATCTAATTTTTGGGGTTTATTTCCTCTTAAATGAACTGTGAGTGGGGCAAATGGTGTAGCGATTAAAAGCTTTATATTTCCTTAAAAAATGTAAAAAATGGTTTAGGTTGGAAAATAAATCATGGTTACCTTCATGCGTTATTGGTACAGTGATAGATTCATAGGGGAAGTTTCTAAAATTCTAGGCTTCAATGACTTCAAGTCATGCAGTGGTTAAACTGGACTGCAGAGCATAGAGCAGAATATTATACTGAGAATAACACTGCAGTACATTTATACTATTTGTTTCCTCTAAATGTAACTTCCACTATAATATCTCGTGAATGGGTGTACACACACATAATGGCCTTATTGTACTATATACAAGGACTACACATTGCATATCAATAAAAGCATTGATGGAAGCCATAACGCTATCTTAGTGGCAACATAAAAAAATAATAATAATGTAATAACATAAAAACAAATAGAGCCTCTGGGAAAATTGCAAAGCCTACCCCTGTTCATGAACTGCAGGCTCTGTTAAAAATTAGCTAATTTAATTACAGTACATTGTATTTTCCACAATCTCTGCTAATTGATTGAATCACTGCAAGAGAATAGATTGTATCCACCAAATTTTTCTTTGTATTTTTTTTTACCTAAAATACATTCAATTTCAGTATGTTTTAATTCACAGTGGGAAAAGCCAGTTCTTGAGGAAGGTAGAACACAGGTGTGACATAAAAGAGCAGGAAACAGAAGCTGCTGAGATGTAGAGAAATTAAATTGGTTGTAAAATCTTACAAATACCCAGTGAACTGACTGGCTTCAGGTGATACACAGAGATGAAACAAATCATCCTATATAAGCTGTACCTGTTTATCTATAGCTGTCTATCCCTGACATCCATTTAAAATTCAGGATTTGCTTAGGATCTCTCAGCTCTGAAAAGCAGGGGACGGGGAGCTGAAGTTACATCGGTGAGGAGAGCTCTGAGAACTGATTGGAGGGAAAGGAACACATCGCTCTTCACACAGCACACAGGAACAGAGCTGAGTCTGTCAATCACAGGCTGTGCCTTCCCTATCACCATTCTTCTCTTGGTGTCAGGAAAACTCATTAGAGGTGATTCATGCTTTTAGCAGGGGGAACAAGGCAGCGGACAGAAATGACACTTAGTACTCTGGATTGAGACAAGTACACACTATAGAGGGATTTGCTTTGTTCTTATTTAACTTCTGAGGGTTACAACCACTTTAAACATTTCCTCAAATATACTGTTACCACTTAGGATAGGTCGAGTATGTCATGCTTGGTAAAATAAAATGAAAATCTTATAACTAGCATTAAAGTGTAAATTCACTGAAAATGTATGTAGGCATAGAACAGAAATCTGCAAATGGTCTTTGACAGGTAGGACAAGCTCATGTTTAGTAAAAAATACATTGGTCAAATCTTTCCATAATATAAATTAATTGAGTAAAGCTCCAACCCAGATGCATGCTTATCTCAACATGACTTAGTGGCCATCTCCAATGGTTTGCTCTGGACTTGTTTCTTCAAAATTTAATTTGTCCTTTAAATCAACTCTTACAGCAGGTTAAGGTTAAACAGCTTTTATGCGGTGATGTGTAAGTTAGCTTGC